TTAGATAAAGATGTATGGAAAGACGACATGGCTCCAGAATCCACACACATTTGATTCAAAGTGTATTCCATAGTATTTAAGTTTATTTGAAATAATTAATCTCGTTTTTTCAAATGACATTAGAAACGAATTACTAATTGGAATTTCAAAAATATACGATATCTTGATCTCGATTCAACATTGAACAATGCGTATATATTTATTTTCAGTTCCAAAAGGGGTATCTGTAAAAAAATGGCCAACAGTGGAAGTAGAAGGCGCTGTTTGGATCTGGCACGACGCGGAAAATAGACCTCCGATGTGGGAAATGAAGGAGCCTGAGGAGTTGAAGACTTATGGATATCGGGGAAGGAATGAGTTCACAGTCAGCTGTCATATACAGGTAATTTTTCCAAAACATTCTGTAATTACACCGTCTATATCTTCAAATAGGGTGTAATCAATAAATATGTCCAAGAATATTGCAGCAAATGTAATCAATAATTATTGATAGTGAACTAAATGTGGACCATATGTAGGTACTGAAATTCCTTTTTTGGTGGCTAGATGTAGCTCAAAGTTAACAAACTAAGAAGTGTAGCCGGACTGATGTCCGGTTACATTCTAATTAGTCATTAGAGTTTCTTTCAAATATGATTTTATTTTCAGACTTATATAGGCCGCTATTATAATTGGAAAAACCTAATGAATTTATTTTATTCAAATTTGTAATTAACACATTTGAATATGATTTTGCCGTTGTTCTTTCAACAGATTAGATAGATTTTTGTAACTTGAAATCGCCATATTGTTTAAACTGTGCGGCTCACTCGTAAGGCAGATTCCCCTGAGAAGAACGAGCAAGAAACTCTAGGGGTTGCACTTTGTAAATAAACATTTGTACATATATACAAAGTTGAGATTGGTCTTGATGGTCTTGATCATTCGCAACCTGTATGAGAAGCAAGCGGCCACGATAAGAGATGAAGAAACTGATCAAGTTGAGATATGTCGTGGGGTCCGGCAGGGCTGCGTCCTGCTTCCGCTGCTTTTTAATGTTTACTTGAAGGCTGTGATTTCGAAAGCGCTTGAAAACCTTGAAGTGGGAATCAAGATCAACGGCAAACTCGTTAACAACTTGCGTTATGCACACGAAACTATTCTCATTGCAGCATCGGAGACCGATTTGCAAGCAATTGTAAATAAGGTTCATGAATGTAGCGTGAAAGCCGGTTTATCAATGAACATAAACAAGACGAAGTGAACTTCGTGGTGGTCTCGAGAAATCCGGCTTTGAGCCCTATCATATCTGTAACTGGGAAACAACTAGAACGGATACGACAGTACAAGTCAGGAAATCAAGACCCAGATAGGAATTGCTTGAGCTTCTTTTAAGAACTAAACTGAACATAAAGCTCCGAGTCGGGTTACTTTTATGTTACATGTGGCCTATCGTCATGTACGGCTGCGAAACGTGGACCTTAAAAGAAGACACTACAAGACGCCTGCAGGCATTTGAAATGTGGTGCTACCGTCGCATGTTGCGCATTGGTTGGACTCAGTGGGTCACGAACAAAACCGTGCTTCGGCGTGTTCATATGTCCCTGAAAATGATGCCATCTATCAAAAGGCGCAAAATATAGTAACTTGGTCACGTGATCAGGAACAATAGATGCACGCTGCTACAGCTAATAATGATGGGCAAAGTGTAAGGAAAGAGACGCGCTTAGCGAAGAAAGAAACCGTGGCTGCGGAACATCCGGGAGTGGACTGGCATTGCCTTCATCGAACAGCTGTTTCGGTTGGCTGTTGATAGAGACGGATACAGGAAGCTGACGGCCAACCTTCAGTATTAAAGAGGCACTTTAAGAAGAAGAAGAAGAAGAAGAAGAAGAATTGATAATAATAACTCTGTGAATGAACACTATGTGTGTGTGTGTAATACCTTCCTAAAACAATTTTGAAAAGTTAATTTCTCTAGTTTAAGTTTAAGTAAATAGATTTATTATTATTATTATTATTATAATTAATTACTATAATTATCGAGAGGTGAACCGTAGTTGGTTGGCCGCGATAAAATGCTGTAAGTATTTTGAAACATCTAAACGGGGACCGTGTAACTCAACTTCAAAAAAAAGTAAGCAAAATTCTTGGTGTATCTATTTTATCATAAAAAATATCGAATTTTTCCTAATTACACTATTTTCCGTGTATTTCGTAAAAAACACTGTCAAAAATCAACGCCGTATAACGAAAAAATTTCTCAGAATTATGACACCTAGACAAAAAAATGCGGATTTTATTTCTGATTCCAAATATAATAAAAAACTCATTTTGCCATTTTTCGAGATACGACAAGATCGTTTTCCGGCGTCGATATATCCAAAATTTATGTCAAATATCGTTACCACCTATCACGGACTTTTGTCATTCAAATACCCAGAAGCTTAAAGCTTTAGTATAAAGTTTTAGTTTCTACGCACCGTGTTTCTTTCTTTACAGGAGATTCCGGAAAACGGCGCTGATGTTGCGCATCTGAACGCAGTCCATGGAACGTCAGTGCTTGCCACGTTTACAAAGAAACATCCCATTCTCCACTCTTTAATAGGTGATTAAAAGTTTCATCGTTTTTAACCGACTTCAAAAAAAGGAGGAGGTTATATGTTCGGCTGTATTTTATGTATGTTTCTCAGTGAATTGTGAACCGATTTTGGAAATTCCTTTTTTGTTTGAAAGGGTACACTCTCGTGGTAATCCCAATGTCACCAAGTCAGAATCTGATGAAGGAGTCCATGGGAATTGTGGAAAATGCTTAAATTTTATATTCATGTCAGTGTACTTACCGATTTCTCTTACAATTGTGGACCGATTTTGAAAATTGTTTTTTTTATTTGAAAGGGTATACTTTCGAACATAATTTCGATAAAAACAAACACATAGAAAAATTTGTAAGGTCCGCTGGTTCGCTCCGTGGTTTAGTTGGCATAGCGTCTGTCACGATTTGCTATAAGACGTCTAATCCTTTGAAGGAATTTTTCCTAAGTGTTCGATCTTTGTATTAATAATTATAACAAACTAGTGGAGTCATTTCAGAAAAAATAATTTTTCATTCCAAATTATATTATTCATTAGTTTTCGCGTACCTTTCTTACTTCCCTGCTATTATATCTTATTCAGTTTTAATTTTACGTATTTCGCGTTCTAGTCCTGAATTGACAGATAAGGGTAACAAACGTACTCCTACATTTTCCATTCTTATTCTTTGTCTCTCTCTCCCTCTCTCATCTAAGCGTTGTCCCGGTTGCGACCTCAGCAGTGTTGCTGCGGAGCCCGGGGCCCGCTTTCCTACTTTTTCTCCTCCGCTTTGCACGGTCTTCGGCATCCTTAGTGGTGAGACCATTGGCACGCATATCACCCTTGGCGACGTCCCGGGGCCCGGCGGAGGTGGCATAGCCAGACATTTGTTTCCCACGTAGCATGCCGGTTTCCGTAAGATGTGGCCGCACCAACGTAGGCGGCTTTCTTGCAGTTTATCTGCAATGTCACGGACGTGAAGGCTGCCGCGGATGCGGACACGGTCTTTCCGTGAAACTCCACACATCCAGCGCAGCACCTTCATTTCCGTGACATGCAGCTCCTGCTTATGATTCTATACTTTATTCTTATTCTTATATACTTATTCTTAGATACTTTAATCTCATTCTTTGTATATTCATTTCTTTTGTACTTCCAGGCGAGCATTATTGGACCGCTGACTGGCAACGTAACCAAGATCGTCTACACACGACCGACATTAACATCACGCATGATTATAAATGGATGAAGATAAACCTTTTCCACGTCGATGTCAAAGTTACACAGGTGAGACAAATTTGTAAAATATTAACACAAGCGTAGCGCACTACAGTACCGGCACGCTATGATGGCCGTTTTCACAGATTAGAATAGTGAGGTCAAATCTCAATTAATTATCGAAAAAGTATAATCAAATGCGAGTCGCATCTATAAGTTTTTAGATTTATAACTAATGTTGTGAGGGGTAGCTGATTAAAAAGCTTTAATAAAACGGCCGGAGGTAGAAGTTGTGCTGTACAGCGACCCTATAAGTGACAATCGTATTAGATTTCATTGTTAAAAATTTCGAATCTTGAAAAACAAATGGCGAGTTGTGTCGTAAAGTTATACATTCCATAAATTTCAATGCACGTCACTGTTGACAACAATGTATATCAATGAGCTCCTTCAATGTAGTTATGAATTAATACGCAACTTGATGAGCGGACAAACGTCTAAACGGCCGGTGCTTTTAATTCATATACTAAACAGGATTATTTGTAAAATGGTGGTACTTCACATGGCTATTTGTTATTTATATATTTTTACCAAACAATCACCACGTGTGTAGATAGCATGTGTGACAAAGAATTTGCCTTGTTTCTTTGCCTTGTTATTCGACGAATACAGCAAACACGTAACGCCAAGCTCGCGTTACCGTGCGCTGGTCGGTTTCAAGACACACATCAAAGGAACCAAATATACAAATACGCAAGTAAATCCACACTAGGGTCATATTCTTACATCGAGTATATAACTATAAATAGAAACGAAATGTCATTTAATTTGTTTCAAAACTATTCTGCCAAATCATTACGGTGACAACTGCGCTCCGATTGGCCAGCCCGAATTCGATATAAATGTCGGGTGTCGTCAATTGTTTCACTTCAAATCGACCAATTTAACTTGAGCTTTGCTATAATAATAAATAAATTAAATGTTTCTTTATTTAGGTATACACCATTAATAAATTTAACATTATTAATTACATTACGTTACATTACATTACATAACCAATTAAATTGAATTTTATTTACCGAATATTATAATTATTAATGAAGTAAATAATTAAGAATTACATTAAATTGAAATGAATTCACATTAGAAATAATAGTAATATATAACAATAATTAATTTATTTAAATTTTAAAAATGGAGTGGTCACTTACAAAGTAGCACGCATCGCATACTGTTCTTATAATTATATTGGCCGAATCGCTCACTCTCACAACAAAAGACCAATATCTCTTCCGTATTATGGCGAAAAAATCGTCTACTCTATTCACGGCAAACATGCCAGACGCACATCGAGTATATAACCAGAAAGAGAGACGAAATAAGGGCCATATATTCCTGGTAACACATTAGCGATACAGCTCTTATAAATATCAACTCCCGTTTGCACTGAAATATAGACAAGCCAACTACTGACCCGTATGTACGTCTCCGTATATTCCAAAAAATATTCTGAATTTATTGTAATAAAGATAATATCTCTAACAATATGTGGCTGTTCCATTCGGTGGTGTGGCAAAAACAGCAGAACATCTAATTACAAAACAAACGGAATCACATTTCATCGGTAATTAAATACTAACTATGTAAATTTGCAATTTTCGTCCATTATAGCAAAGCTCAAGTTAACTGGTCGATTTGAAGTAAAACGTTGACGACAGACTTGACATCACGTTTACAATGCATATACAGGTTAAAACATAATTTCAATTAAGCATTATTTGTTATATTATTTTTTTGAAAATCTTGTCACATTGCTCTCTGTACTTGTGATGTGAAACAAACATATTATTATTATTTTGAAGTAAAATTATAGATAGGCTTGATTTCTTTAATATCTAACGTAAAACGTAAGTTACATGTATCTTTTTATATAATTAACTCAAAAATTACAAAAAAAAAGCAAAAATCCTAATAAAATAGCTACCAGTAACTGTCAAAATGTCCACTTTCGGTCAAACGTCACTGGTAACTATAGTTACCAATAAATTACAGTACCCGATTGGTGAACTGTTTTACAAATAACTTTGGTGTTACCACATGTATTAACACCAAATTTTTACTAGTATTTCACTGTTAAATACTCGATATCCTAGTATAAAGAAACTAATATTCATGATGCGTCCTTACAACATAAAAAAAAAATGTGAAAAAAAACTTTGGCGGGATTGTTCACGTTTAGTGTTTGATGAAGACTTTAGTTGTGATAGATGACATTATTAATTAATTTCTGTAATTATTACCTATCAAAATGATCGTCAGGATGTGCTTTTTCGGATGGTGTTAAAACTTTAACATTTGATATCTTATTGGAATCACAATCTTATTGGAAAAAAGGTCGTCATAGTGGAGGTCATAGCACCTAGTGATTGTTTTTTGGAAAAAAACTTATTCATTATTGTGGCAGTTATAAAATAAAATATAGTCGTCCGAGGCGCCCTCTCGCATTACTCCTTGGACAGCGGGAGCGAGCGTGCGTGTCGTGCGAGGCACAAACAAATAAGTTGTTTCAATTACGTTAAAGTACATCGTACAAGTAAGAATACAAAGGCGTACAGGACGCCACAATTATTAAAATACTTTTTGGAGTAAAATATCACTCAAACACATAACTTTATTCAATATAGGTTGTATTAAAACCTTTTTTAGGTCGTTACATTGTGAGTTGTGATAGGATTCGTCAATTTTCTTCCTCGCGACTTTCGCGATTTTCGTCGCTACCTGCGACTGTTATTAATTTAATTTCGTATGAATCTAGTATTAATCGATATGTATTTAAATGCTTGTCATCGTTATATTTGTTTTGTTTTTTAATAAAGTGAATATAGGTACAAAGTGGTTAGATGTTAAAGCGTAAAATACTATGAAAATTTCTCAGAAGTGTTCAGTGTACTCAGAAATTTACAAATAAAGTCGTCGTATTAAAATCATAACTGTAGTCTAAACAAAAGCTACCGAAGTGCTCTTATCGCCCATATTATTCTTTTTACGGTAGCTCAATAGGTTCTTGAGTTTCAAGTGTTTATATTACACGTGTCTTATCGCCGCCCGTAATGTAAACAATGAAAAAAGGTAGCAACTGATTAGAAAAGTGACAGGTATCAAATGTCACGCGCGCCGACGATCAAGTCGATGCTTTTTCTCGAAATGCTGTTTGTTATGACACGGCAAACTTGTAAATAGTCTTGAAACGTTAGTTACTTCCATTCCCAATGCTAAGCAAAGTTTGGAAAATTCCAGATTGGTCCTGGTCAGGTTCAACTCCGCCTCTCCACCTCGCTCGGTAAGGCACTGATCTCCAACTCCGTGACCCCGGTGGGTCCGCTTAAACAAAAATGCGTCTTCAGAGTGTTCTCCCCTGCTTCAAACGCTATGATGGGGTGGATTTTTAATCGTTCCGAAGCTGCCATGGTGAGTTTCACTATTTATCAATAATATTACATAAAATGACAACAACGATTATCTATGTAGTGAAGAAAGAGATGAGTCTCTTAAAAGACTGAGGTCTTTTAAGGCCTTTTAAAAAACCTCGACTAATTTTTAACGCCTCGCGACTAGTCTAGTCTTTTAACCCTCAACTCTTGAGTCATAAGACTGAAAACTGAAGACTAATTAATTCGAGTCGAAGTCTTTTAACCCTAATGAAGCTTAAAAGACTTATAGGACTAAAACGACTAAAACGACTGACGCCTCATAGCCTCGGGAGTCGCGAGTCATGAGCCGTATGGCGTGATTTTATTTCTGCCCACAAGGTATTTATTTTACAATTTTTGTTATAAGTAAATAAACGTGATTATTTTCTACATACTACTTGCGTCATTTTTATTTATAACCTTCGGGTTTAATAAGACATAAAATAGGTATAAGTCCTTTGCAAACAACTCGAGTCGCTTAAGTCTTTCAAGTCGTTCAAATCATTTAAGTCTTTTAGCATAACGACTGAGTCTTATTAATAAAAACTCGAACATCCAGTCTTAATTTTAGAGTCGAGTCCTGTAAAATGGAGTCGAGTCGTTATAAAACGCCTTAAAAGACTGAGTCTCTTCATCACTAGTGAAGACACAACACTTCAATATCATAGATTAATAAGCAACAGAGTTGTTCTCAATACACAATAATAGAGTAGAGATAATATGAAAAAAATAGTTAGGTACTATGGTGACCATATATAAATTTAAAAAATATAAAAAAGACTGGGCTTCATAGTCTAAATATCTATGCCTTTCCGCAAGAAAAAGTACGTAACATAACATGCATTTTTTTATAATTCCAAGTAAAGACGAAAAAATTGCAGTGCTACTCAGAACTTTAAAAAAGACTATCCACACCATTGACTTACAAATAAATGGACGACGGGTCTAATACAAAAACCACGAAAAAATGTCCCAAGTCAACCTATTCGAAATTTAAATTGTAATGTCATCGCAGTATCGCGCTGTCAGTAGAACAAATGAAGACTAAAGCGGAGTTTCGCGCTCTGTATACGATTTTAGCGCCTTACAAGTGCGGACACTTTTTAGCGCGGACCCGACGTCCATATAATTGTAAGTCAATGATCCACACGCATCAGGGGCGTGTCCGGGACGTGGACGGGGCGTGCTAGTTTGCATGAACTGCGCGCCCGTCCAGGTGCCGGCTCGGACACGGACATATGTGAACAAGTATATACAAAATATACGCTACGATATTTTTTTGAACCCCTGGCGCAGCACGGCCCGTTCACGTCCCGGACACGGCCCGGATATGTGTGTATAGGCCTTAAATCGTAAAGATCTGGGCACTGCCATTGCGCCCGTCATCCTGATACATAAGTTGACAAGTCCCATGTGCCTATAATTTCACCTATCTACTGCTTGGCGGCAGAAATAGGTAAGGAGGACGAACACCTTCACAAGGCGTTCTACTGCTCCTAAAACTTCAACATCTTTCATATAACATCTATTCTACATCATTCACCATTTGGACTGTATTTTCTTCTTTTACTTTACGTTCATTCCCCAACTATGGATAAATATTATTGGTAAACACTCAATATTAACTACCTATCTAGCTCATTCCCAATAAATATTGACTGTCACGTCTGTCCACGGTACTACGATACTGGGCGCCTACCACAACCTCTTAAAACAATATTACTTTAACCTTACATTGACTTTTTGTACCATGACGCGCTTACAAAAGTAAGCTTACATTAAACTATGATGTTTTATTGGCAGCTTTGTGACTATTCGTTTATTCAGTTCGTACTATGACGCGACTTTAACATTAAAGTAACATTGTTCTTATGTCAAATTTAGCAAACATAAAATAGTTACTCGGGCGCAGTGGAAACAATATTTTTTTCGAATTTTTTGTCTAAGTATTGACTTGTAATGATTAAAAGTTATGTTGAACTTGTTTATTTACGTAATGTATCGTATCTTCAATATTTTGTTTATTTTTTATTTAATACAGTACTATTACTATTTAGTACATAGGAAATAATTTCTCGTTAAATAAAAATACGCGATGTTTATTTCGGAAAATTAAGCCAGCGACATCTATATGCTCCTTATCGACACTAACAGTTGACACTAGACTAACATTCCGAATTCTCAAAGTGACAAGCAAGACTCAACTTGTTTTATTTATTTTTCTTCTGAATGAAAATGCGGAAAAATGATTGAAAACAACTTAATTTTAATAGATTTTATTATTACATACTTTTCTTTTTTTAACAGTTAAAATTCGCTGAATGTAAATAATAATAAGTACCTAAACATTACACTACGATAAGACGAATCGGAACATCAAAAAAGAAAGAGATGGCATTATATAGTTCATATAGCGTTTTTTCTTTCCTATTTTTAGTAAGGAATAAACAATATTGGGAAATAATTCGTTCCTTCAATCGCTTTAGCAAGATTTTTTAAAAATGGCGGGTTTTTGTAGTTACAGTTTTTTCACAAATTAATTTTTGATTTTAAGTACTATTACGTTTTAAGTTTCTTAATCCTTTGTTGCTTGCTTAAGCTGATGGCTCCATAGCCAATGCTCAACGAATAAATAAATAATAAAATAATCAGCAATAATACATTACTCGGTTGACTGGTTTGTCATGGTACGAATATGAATAATATTATAATAAGCTCACTTTAAGCTTACATTGAAATAAGATATAGTAGAACAAAACAAAACATTATCACTATTGACAGTGTTTTGTTTGGAACATGTCGTTGCTGTGAATGTTCTTGTATTAATGGCTCGTGCAGCGTGCCGGCGATACGTCGCGACTGCGGTCACGACGTATCGCGGAATACAGTGCAGCATGCGGGCGACTAGCGACGTAACACCACCAATAGCTTAGTGAATATTCAAATAATTATCGTACCGACAGGGTAAGTGGATATAGTATCAGAACTTTTTTTTTGGAAAATTCCGTTTTACGGGTCCGTGCCATAGGAAGCATAAGAAGGAGATTTAATATTCATCCAATTAGGGTCGAACGAAACACAAAACTGCGAATTGCTGCGATGCGATTTCGTACGGCAAGGCGTCTGACTGCCACGATTCGGGTAACCATTCCTTCGACCATCGCCGACCGCATTGAACGTATTTTTTAAACTAGGTAGCGACATGGATCGTAAAATGAGTGTTACGCTGATGTTATTGATAAGTATAGGAAAAGAACACAAAGAAGATTAACATCGCAGATATGCGCGATGTGGAGCAATTCGCAAATTCTTGTGGTTCGTCGTCGCATCGCAGTTTTATGTTACCCTTAATGTTGTGCGGCGATTACGAACTGCATCAATTAACCTATCCTACCTATATTGTTATAATTTAATTACTTATGTAATAATCTAATAATAATAGGAACATTAATTGACCGTCTGGTAGTAGTCGCAAGCGCAAGCGACTTGCGACGACCAATCGCTGCAATTCTCACGACCAATGGTCGCCAGTCGCGGGCACACTGCACTAAGCCTTTTAGTTGTACATGTTTAAACAAGTCGCAGCGAATTGGTGCGACCGCAGTCGCGAAATATCACCGGCACGTAGCACGAGCTCTAATGATTGAAGTCATTGAATAATAATGATTAGTTTTTAAGACGTGACACAAAACGTCGCCTGAGAGGAGACCCGTGGTCGGCAGTAGGATGTTATATTGATGAATGATTTTTTTTGTTTCAGTTCAAACGCGACGTAGCAATATGGAATAGCAAACGCTATGTCGGGGCTCCAGCGTATGTTAAGGCGGACAAGACTATCAGAGCTTATAGGACCTGGTTTAGTCAGTTCTATAGTGATAATAGCCAAAGTTTCAGAGAAGCTAACCAAAATCCATTAGATTGGTAAATTAAGTTATATAATCATTGAATTACAAATAAATGGACGACGGGTCTAATACAAAAACCACGAAAAAATGTCCCAAGTCAACCTATTTAAACGTAGTGTCATGTAAAGGAATATGAATAAGCTAAAACGTTGAATTTAAATTGTAATGTCATCGCAGTACTGTCTAATTTTGCTTGCTTCGCTGTCAGTCGAACAAACGAAGACTAAAGCGTGAATGACGCTCTGTATACGATTTTAACGCCCTATAAGTTCGGACACTTTTTAGCGCGGACCCGACGTCCATATAATTGTAAGTCAATGTATATAATGCAATATTATAATGAACTTCACCTATGCAGGGCGCCACACGGCAATGTCGATACAACCTCAAATGGCTTTGGTTAAAAGCCATTTGGAAAAATATACAGTAAAATTGGACGTAGTTAAGCAAAAAGCATCCAATCCACAAAATTATCAAAAAATGACTTATATGTACCAAAAGTCTAAACTCTTAGATAAGCAAAAAAATCCAACATATAAACATAAATAAATAGCTCTGGAGTTACATGACATTATAAGTTTTGAAAATAATAATCTCAGTACAGAGTACTAAAAATACTGACCTCAAAAGTACGTGGAATTACGTCTATTTGCTAAGTTTTATTGAAATATCCCCTAGTTCGCCACTATACGGGACTTGACACAGGAGATAATAAAAATCGGTTCTCACTACTCAAAGTATATTGAGAGAAAAACGCCTTGAATTGGAGAAATAGCAAAATCAACCATTAAAATAATTGCTCCTAAATTAAAGTTAAGCGCTATTTATAAAAATGAATCTTCGTCGATAATCATTAATAGATAATAACATTCATCGATCAATAGCGATGTCAATTTCTTTTTGAATAATGCTAATGGTAGTGACTTCAGGTTTTCAGGTAGTTCAATATATATTTTTGGTGCCATCCCAACTATACTCTTTCTTAACAGAGCTGTTTTGTTATTCTCAACTACGTTTTAGTAACAGGTTGAAGTACTGTGATCGCATAGGCCTTGATCTGACATCCGATAACTTTATTTGGTGTATGTTCATTTTTAACCGCCTTCAAAAAAAGGACGAGGTTCTCAATTCGACTGTATGTTTTTTTTTTATGTATGTTATGCGATAACTCCGGTATTTGTGCACCGATTTTCATGATTTTTTTTTGTTGGAAAGAGTACCTCCATAGTGGTCCCATTTAATTTTGAAGAAAATCATCCACCTCTAAAAGTGGCTGTCCACGCATGAAGATTCATTTTTATAAATAGCGCCTAAATTTTATTATAAGGAGCAATTATTTTAATGGTTGATTTTGCTAACTCCAATTCAAGGCGTTTTTCTCTCTCAATATACTTTGAGTAGTGAGAACCGATTTTTATTATCTCCTGTGTCAAGTCCCGTATAGTGGCGAACTAGGGGATGAATCCGGGTTTGCTCACTTTCCGGTCACCGATTTAAAAAAAACTTGGCAAATAGATGTAATTCCACGTACTTTTGAGGTCTGTTTTTTAGTACTCTGTACTGAGATTATTACAAATACACATGTTTCCAAAATATATAAAAAGGGCAGTGTTAATATGCGAAGCGAAATAACCGTTTGTTCGCAGATTTCTCTGGGTTTTAGCCTTTACATAGCTCTTATGCACCTTTTTTGGGATTTGAATAGATAGACAGATAGAATATGTTTTCTCTTTCACTATAATTTCCCCAGAATATAACACCAAATCTTAATGTTGATGCAACTAAACCGTGGTAAGCTACTACAACTTTTTAGACAAAGCATAGAGAGTATAGTACCACAGATAATATAATACTATACTAGTACGTAGTGCGAGCACAGAGTATGGTAAAATTCGTTTTTTTTTTTCACATTTGGCGGGTTCGATTACCGGTTCAGACATGCGATTATTTCATCTCTAAATCTTTGAATGCAGTTCAAATTGTTTTGAAAATCAAAATGAAGTCTTGTTTCTTATTTCAGTAAAATTTTCTATCGGTACGGTACTTATACGGTATTTAAGGTACCTTCCCTCCGTATGGCATAGCTGTGGGACGCTCTGTAGACTGTCTGACTGACACTGAGTAAAGTGACATTTGTAGGGTTGCCAGTTTTCATAAAATTTTAAATAGTCATATGTTGTTGTTGTCGGTTTTATCGATAGATTGTGAAACAAGGTAAAATTTTGCCAAAAATGTCTGCATTATGATTGTTGCGACGTTCTAATGCTTATTAATTGCGATAATGCCTTCTTTATTTTTGTTTAGGCAGTTGCCCCAGGTACTAGTATCGAAATTAATTTTTGTTTCATATAGATTTATATTGAATAATTGTTAAACAAAGACCAAACACTTAGAAAAAATTCATTTCGATCCGGTTGGAATCGAACCAACGTCTCCCAGCAAACCGTGCCAGATGTCAACTAAGCCACGGACCTCTCGAATTTTTCCAAGTGCTTGTTGCAGATTTATGTTTTTAACGACTTTTGCCGTAACCTTAGTTACATCAGAGCAACGTACGTGATGCTGTCTTATATTTATTTACTTATTACACCAATATCGATTGTCTTAACCAGCTCAATCGTAGGTGCTTGTAATTTCACGAATACCCTTACCTTTCAAAACCGGAACGCAGTAATACTTGACAACAAAATTTGGTAAAATTAGGCGCCATTCCGCAGATATTCAATCCTGATGAATGAACGACGCTGACACTCGATAGACGCTAGTGTGGTAGTGCTCTTACCTCAACGGTTTAACGCAACCGCTACGATGCCACAAACAGATACATAAATGACAAAGACCTCAAACTTACAACTCAATTCCCCGTTGTTTTTCCCCCGCCTATGTTTTAAATGACCATAGACAATAACAATTTTTAAGTTAGCTAGTGGCAAATACTGCACGGATTTATTGCCAAAGCGTTAGTTTTTTTCAATTTTTGCATTTATTAATTTTATTATTAGGTATAATTAAGTGACCTGTGTTTAATTTAAATGTAGATAAAAGCTGTAGTTGCACTACTTACGCCATTTTAATTTTCCTATTTAATAGGAATTTGCTAATACGACAATTCTGATTTTATAGATTTAGGCTTAGCCTAGTGTGTGACCACCTGTAATGACTCACAATGTTTTCAGGCATGGCATCACGTTAACAATGCGTTGTTGTTAATGTTTAACACACACTTAATGTTCATTTAGCATAAGTATCTTCTATCTAACGTCGGTTTGTTTGAAAAAACAAATATACGCGATTTAAATCCGGAAAAATAGTTTCATTTCCTATAAGTATCTTGTTCTTTTCTTAAAAATGTAAATATGTAAAGTATCTTGTTTTTCTGTGTGTTTGTGATGCCAATAAACATATTCTTATTCTTATTCTAGATTTATAATTAATAATTTCAGACTATATCGATAATTTAAATAATTGAGAATGAGTAACTTCTTTTGAAATATCAACAAGACCCGGTATAACAACAACTGGAAATGCCATCGAGGGGCCAACCACTCTGTCTAAGGTATGGGACCGAAATGAAGAAACTATTTAGTATGACGTTCTTGCGTGTAAAAGAGACTCAGACTGTGTCAAAATGCATTATAATATGTATCACAAATGTCCAAAATATAAACAAAAATGTCATTGTCAAAGTGTGAATGCAGGTATGCTAAACCTATTTCTAACGGAATTCGAAAAGGAGGAGGTTCTCATTTTCTGCAATTTTAATTATTTAATACAAAACATTAACACACTACGAAGACAAGGTCTAACACGAGAAAATGATGTTTCGGGTTTCTTTTTTATTTGAAGACAAATACCGTATATTATAAGTATTTCAAATCAATATTAAAAACATCTAAATATAAGATTATCTAGACACGTGTAAATTTGCGAGATTGTGTAAATACCACTATGGCAGCCACAAAACTAATGTTCC